CAGATTCACCTCCTCGGGGGAAATAATAGAAGCAATGATACTGTTGGTTGCCTTAGCAACAATGTAGGTATTAGTATCCTTCCAGTATTTGAAGTTGTACGTGTAATTAATTCCCTTCGGGAGATATCAACCAATATGAAGCATATTCAAGTAAGAATGTACGCCTGATTGAAACGTTGCGAAAACTTCGGTGCATGGCTAAGAAGCGAATTACCCAGTTCCAAATAACAATGAGATTAGACCTGGTGTCACACATCAGCTATATATTACAAGGTAAATTCTAATATTGAATAACAAAGTAATTTGAACAAAGACCGTATAAAGCAGACATAAGTAATAGAACTAGAAAGAAACATTTCGAAAAATGAGCCTGCTGGTAGAAAAAGTAATACTTGGAAAAGTAAAGGAACATATTTCCATGTGAAAAAGGTGTGGACGAATACATACAAGTACAGTAAGAAATAAAGATTTAATAAAATTAATGTACAAATATATACAGAAATAAAAATTTACAAACATGTACATTGTTTTAGCTCAAAGCTACACAATGGGCTATATGCGCTCTGTCTATCGCAGGGAATCGAACCCTCATATTTCTTTTTAGCGTTGTAAGTCTGTAAAACTGCCACTGACTTATGCGAGGGGTGGGAGGTGGAGGGTCAGAGAATAGACGTAAAGTTGCAAAAACATGCACTTGCAAAGGCAACTTGCATGATGATGATATTTACAATAACTAGCGAACCCATGGGCCTATGGCCCAGATTTACAAATTTAATACTTGAACTACTATATTTACGTGCTCCAATCAATACCAAATATGGGGACTGCTTTCAGAGAATCCTCGTAAAAGTGTTTTTCGCGAAATACCCGGTTCCCTAAGGGGTTGGGTGAAAAGTTTTTAACTCTGTGCAAACCTCGGGGCCTTGACGATTCGTTTGGCACCTTTCAAAAGTTTGTGAATCCAGCAGTTTAGGAGAAGGGGTTGGGGAGAAATCTCCGAGTTCCCCAAGGCGTGGGGTGAAAATATTTACTTTGTTTGTACCTCAGGACAGAGACAATTCGTTTGGTAGCACTTAGAAGTCGGTGCGACAGGCGGTTTAAGAGGACTTACGTGACGCACACGTACACATTGAATTTTATTATATGGATTATAACGCCGATATAAACACATTGAACCATCTACAACAATGTAGCTAATATATTTTCGTTTCTCAAGAAGCACATTGCTATTTATATTTTTACTTTCGTAATGTTTATCAAAATAATGTACAATGCAGATATAGCTCTGGTACCAGTACAATACAAATGCAAGAAACAGTACAGAGGAATATAAAAATTATATTATTATTTTGCGTTTCATAGAATCTTTTGCCCATCTGACGAGTTACGGTAATGAGCGAAATGCCTCTAGGGAAAGACATTTGGGAGACGACTATAGATCTGAAATGCTGTTTTATAATCCTCTGATTGTGAATCCAAAATGGAAGTTAGGACGAATGTAGTGGAAAAAAAGTCTTGAGTTTAAGGGATTTTTATCACAATTTTTAGGCCTAGTAAAGAACAAACAGACAGACATAGTTAAAACAATGCGTATACAAAATCAAACAGTACATATTATAAACTTATGGTTACAACGTTGTTGAAGATCACTGTACTTGTGCTATTATTCTTTGTATTGTTGCATCAGTTTTTTAACATTACTTCTGAGTGTAATTTATATTGTTAACTGTAATTCAGTCGATAAATATCATTCGTTATGGTATTGCTTTACACCGTGATTACAATATATATATATTGAATTCCTAGTAAACAGCAAAGATTATGGAAAGGATGAGATTGAAATTTTACCAACGTTTTTTGTTTGTGATTGTTTATATATACTGAATTCATCTTATCCAACAAATATCGAAAACCACAAAAATGATCAAAAATCGTTTTTCGTCTTTTCCATAATAACTAAACCTTAAAAATGTCTGGTTTGTTTGTTTGTTGACTTTTGCGCAAAGCTGCTCATGGGCAATCTAGCCCTCCCTAATTTTGAAGTGATAGACTTGAAGAAAGACAGCTATTCAACACCACTCAGCTCCAATTCTTTGGCTAGTCTTTATCGTTGACTCCCAGCGGCACAACGGTATGTTTGCGATTTACAACGCTAGAAACCGAGTTTCGATACCCGTGGTAGGCAGAGCACAAAAAGCCCATTGTGTAGCTTGGTGCTTAACTTCAAATAAACAAACAAACAAATTTTTATCATAGTTCGATTCATCATGAGTTCCCTGGTGATTGTCGAACTATTAAGGCACAGAAGTTGGTTTTGTAAGCCTGTGTTCCTACTGCATCTGAGTCTCTGGAACCTTACTAATGATATCATGTGTGCACAGCGCCCCACAATACTAGGCTAGTTGAAACTGGTCATTCTGAGTGTCATAATGAATACAGAGACACTACACTTTGCTTGACAAATGGCGGGACTGAATCTTTACACAGAGAAGACAATCACTTTCACCACTGACCCACACGTCATAGAGACCATTCTCAAGTAAATGATCTTATGTCCTTTCACCACTGACCCACACGTCATAGAGACCATTCTCAAGTAAATGATCTTATGTCCTTTCACCACTGACCCACACATCATAATGACCATCCTCAAATAGATGTTCTTATGTCCTTTCACCACTGATCCACACGTCATAGAGATCATCGTCAAGTAAATGTTCTTATGTCCTTTCACTACTGACCCAGATGTCATAATGACCATCCTTAAATAGATGTTCTTATGTCCTTTCACTACTGACCCAGACGTCATAATGACCATCCTTAAATAGATGTTCTTATGTCCTTTCACCACTGACCCAGACGTCATAATGACCATCCTCAAATAAATGTTCTTATGTCCTTTCACCACTGACCCAAACGTCATAGAGACCATCGTCAAATAAATGTTCTTATGTCCTTTCACCACTGACCCAGACGTCATAATGACCATCCTCAAATAAATGTTCTTATGTCCTTTCACCACTGACCCAGACGACATAATGACCATCCTCAAGTAAATGTTCTTATGTCCTTTCACTACT